CCATTGTGCTATCTGCTCTTGCTTTGACTACTTGGACTTCAGTGTGATTTTGCAATCTGGATTTTTGTGCTTCGTCCGTACTCATGTTCCTTGCACAAGGAACTACTAGAAAAAACTAATTGGCCTAAGGATGGAATTTTAGAAATTGAGATACTGGGGCCATTACTCGGCTTTGGCTCGGAGAAATTAGAGCTACTTCAGACATGTCTATGAAACGGTATTCACCAGCTCGTAGTAGCTGATGCAGATCCCAGGGCTTGATCCCTAGTCCCCACCTTACCTGTGTACAGTACCTGTGTTGACCCGTGGAGTTGAACCCGCGCCTTGTGTATTTGTAACAGCTGATAGGTCATCGTAGGGTCCGTAGGTAGCCTCGGTTTGATCTGTAGACCTGTCGGCTAGGAGTCTTAGCCAGGCTTAGAGGTCGTAGCCACAACTTTTCTGAAAGGTCAAGGTCGTAGCTAGTCTAGTCCTGAAGAGTCAAGGTCGTAGCCCCGACAAGACCGAAAGGCCAAGTCCACGGCCTTCTAGAAGGTCCCAGTGGTAGCCTTTCGAGGCTGCCCAAGTTTAGGCAGAGGCAAGTGGGCAAGTGGTGGAAGTCCACCGTGCAGAGTCAGCAGTCCCAGTCCAGACAAGCAAGTACCGCCTGGGACTGTGTGCACCGTGGGCCAGGGAAACAAGGGCAGACCAACGAGTCACAGAAGTATAAATCAAGAGGCCGCKCACAGCCATTCATTCATTCCTGCGGAAGCCATGCGGAAGCGCTGCCTCAACGGCTTGTGCAAGGAGGTCTGCAGCAGCCCGAAATTGACGTGGGCAAGAGAGACGAAGTGCAGCCATAGCGGTAGGGTAGAGGCAGCCATCGCTGCCATAGCTGTAGTTTAGAGTGAGGTGTGTGTGTGTTGTGTGAGGGTTCAGAGTGTCGTGTGTGGGATATCAAGGGTGATCCGGAGTATGTGAACAGTGAGTTGTTGGGCGCTGAGTCGCCATAGTCGGTGGAAGTGAACTCTTATCTGGATGCTATATCTCTGAGTTTTGAGTGGGCGCATGTCGCCAGTTTGCTGCGATGCTGTTTACATGCATGAGAAGTGTGAATGAGACGAGTCTGATTGCATTGATATCGGAGCTGGTACCCGCTATTCCATGCGTGTGGTCGTGTGCAGGCCGTGAAGTGCCATAGCAGAGGTGGCCGCCGAGGGACAGTCCGCCATAGCGGACTTGAGGTTGGAGAAGCCGCCGCGCACCTGCAAGAAGACCACGACGAAGAAGAAGA